AAAAAAAAAGGCGGAGAAGCAAAAAAGAGGCTCTTCTTTCTTGTATTTCCTCTCAAAATCCCTTGTTTGGTGTTGTGATGAAAATACTGTTGACATCCTTGTGATGAAATAGAGTTGGATCTTCTTTTTTTGTGTCCCTCTGATTTGTGTTTGTCTTGGGTGTGCTTGGGTGAGTCTGCTGGTGATTGAGTGTTTGTGCAGGACATCAAAAGAGATCAGAGATTCAAGTTGTGTCATGACCCAGTGGACTCACCATCAGGTCTGCTTCCTCCATTGCTACTTCTGATCAAACAGTTCCTTCTCTGATGTTTATTCCCCTATATATACTGATGCATTACAAACATAATATGCATTATTTTTAAAACTATTGCCTACTGATTATACACACACCAAAAGATTATTCATGAACAGTAAAATACTCCTCCAGGTACAAAAATAACCTTTTTATGTATATTTTATATACGTGCTGCCAAGAAAATAATTCTCAAGATCCCTGCAGTTGGGTCTATGTATGATTCCCTTCAAGTCTCAAAATGGAAAAGTCTAATTTATATAATGAACATTTTTCAGGAATTAATAATTCTATTAAAAACCCCCACTTTAACCTCTGGTGATGAAGTCACACGATTACTGGAATGAATTGGAATATTTCCTAATAAGATAAAAGAAACAATGATGCATTTAACCAAAATGGGCAATCTGGCTTCAATATTTTTTGTCTTAGTAACTTTTTGATAGAAATTGAGTGAATATCAGACTCTGAGGATGCTGTTCCTTTAAATTGATAAAAGTATGTTGAACTTGGATGAGGTATGATAAAAATGTATTGATTTTCCTATTGAGAGCCCAATTCAGATGTAGTTCCTGTCATTTGTGTAAAATCAAAGAGGTTTTGGCATTGTCTTGGGGTTCAGAATATGTATTTGCAAATTAAGAAACTCAAGGGAGAAGAGTGAACCTTCACAAGATTCAATCCATCTCTCAAAGAAGGCAATTAATGCTTCTGAAAGTTTTAAATTCATAGTTGGACTCATAGCTGATGCATGGTTGCCAATATTCATGTGGAATTATAATTATCTTTAACGTTAGCAGTGGGAGGAACAACCAGTAGGATCCTACAGGGGTCTGGGGGGAATAATAAGGACGTTGTGTAACGTGTGTCTGTGGCCTTTTGCACCTTGAATTAATTTGGCTACTTGAAAATGCATCAATTAACATTAAGTTGTCAGGATGGCCGAGCGGTCTAAGGCGCTGCGTTCAGGTCACAGTCTGATTCTGCAGGTGTGGGTTTGAATCCCACTTCTGCAATCATTTTTTCATTTGTTTTTGTTTTTTTTTGTCCACACTGCGGACGCTCTACTGCTTGATTGAAGTCAAGAAAAAAAGAGTGTAACACCTATTCTGATTTCAGACAATATACATTTGATGGGATCATTCATTATAGGAAAAAAATATATGAGTCAATTAAACACCTCTCATGCTATATACAGTCTAGTCAATTGCTGCTTATTTGCCCAAATTACAAACAACTGAAAGAAATTGACAGTTGTCCTAGCATTGGTTCAAACAACATATTTTCCAAGCAAAATATTATCTTAATGCGAACCATGAATGAGAAGCTCACTATAAATATTCAGTGTTCAATACCAGGTTTAACATGTGATAAAATATAAATGCTTACAGTTGGGATTTTTGAAAAAAAAATAAACCAGTTCTACTGTTGGCTTCAGCAGACAACATGTCCTTGAGACCTTTTTGCTTTAAGCAAAAAAGAATGGCAGAATTAGAGAATATTTTTGAAAACAAAAGTCCCTGGTATCCAGTTTATGTCCCAAGTCTTGAGTGTTTACAGGAAGAAAAACGAAGAAGACTCTTCAACAGCACTGCAGACACACCCATCAGTGTTTTCCAACTATAGAATACTGATGATATTTTCAGAGCACAAAGTCACCTGTCTTTCTTTCTCTGTCTGTGTTTCTTTCTTTGCCAGTGTGTTTTGCTGAGGCAATGATTTTGATGCAAACACATGGATATATGCTGCACATGTCCTCCACTTGTCTTCCAGGCCACTGAAGATGGACAGCAAAAGATGATGATCTCACAACATATACTTGTGTTCATCAGGGCACTTTTGCTCAAACAAAACTGCTCCTCTTCTTTTTTTTTGTGGTTTGGTTTGTTTCTTGTTTGGTCCAGGGAAGCAAAAACTTTTCTCTCTCTCTCTCAGACTCACATATACAATATACAATACTGTATATCACATCTAACTTCTTGAACAAATACAACACAATTTTCTCTATCACATATATACAGTACTTTATATACAACACATTGGGGAGCTGAAAGGTAAAACTTCAAGTTCTAAACTATTTACTTCAAGCTGGAATTTTCCTTGAAGCTCTCTCTTTTTTAGCCTGATTTTACACATATAAAAATTGCTTTCAACAGACCATGAAGAATAAAAATTACTGTACAGTAATACTAAACCTTTCCCAAAAATTTTGTTGATTGATTGATGAAAATTCTTTAGTTTCTTCTTGTCATCATTCACATGGTTCAAAATATTTTTTTTCATCCCCACAAACATACATCAAAATAAAAATGCATCAAAGTACAGTACTTAAAAATGCATGAATACTGTGATTGATTGCCACCTTTTTATGTTGAAGAAAATACAGTAAAATATGCAATAATTGGTGAAGCAAGTAATTTAGGAATCAAACAGCAGCACAGCACTAAAAATAATTTCCATAAATACATGTAATCTTTATTTTGAAACCTCGAAAGGGATCTTTTTCTCATTTGTGTCTGTCGGAATTATCTCAGATTGAAATAAAATGAAAAACCTTCTGTTCGCCATCAGTATTCTATTTTATTTAAAATTTTCATTTGATAAAAACCAAAGCCAACAAGTTTGTAATGAAAAATGAATCATCTGCGTTTTTTTTGGATTATGTTGGCTGATTAAACATATTTTGATATTTTGAAATTAGATTTCCGGGTTCATTTTCATTCGATGAGTAAACAGAGTATCGTTGGGAAGCCTGATGAATTTGGAACCAAATTTTAAATATTCCTCGATTGATAAATTTCCATATGCAAAATTTTTAGTATATTGCGACGATCTCCAGCGGTTTGATAATTTATTTTGATCAAATTCAGTTTGAATGGGGAATCATTTACATCAGTACTAGTTGGTAAGAATTCTCTAAAAATTTTGATTAAAAAATTAAATGCTCAAGAAATGTTTTTCTTTTATTGCCACGATTTTTCATTCTCTTTCATTCATCGGGTTACAAATTGAATTAACCCCGTCAGTATTTATTTTCCCGTCTCTTTATATACAACACATTGGGGAGCTGAAAGGTAAAACTTCAAGTTCTAAACTATTTACTTCAAGCTGGAATTTTCCTTGAAGCTCTCTCTTTTTTAGCCTGATTTTACACATATAAAAATTGCTTTGAACAGACCATGAAGAATAAAAATTACTGTACAGTAATACTAAACCTTTCCCAAAAATTTTGTTGATTGATTGATGAAAATTCTTTAGTTTCTTCTTGTCAGCATTCACATGGTTCAAAATATTTTTCTCCATCCCCACAAACATACATTCAAAATAAAAATGCATCAAAGTACAGTACTTAAAAATGCATGAATACTGTAATTGATTGCCACCTTTTTTTGTTGAAGCAAGAGTACAGTAAAATCTGCAATAATCGGTGAAGCAAGTAATTTAGGAATCAAACAACAGCAGCACTAAAAAATAATTTCCATAAATACATGTAATCTTTATTCTGAAACCTCAAAATTGATCTTTTTCTCATTTGTGTCAGTCGAAATTATCTCAGATTGAAATAAAATGAAAAAACTTGTGTCCGCCATCAGTATTTTATTTTATTTAAATTTCTCATTTGATGAATACCAAAGCCAACAAGTTTGTAATGAATAATGAATCATCTGCGTTTTTTGTTGGATTATTTTGGCTGATTAAACATATTTTGATATTTTGAAATTAGATTTCCTGGTTCATTTTCGTTCGATGAGTAAACAGAGTATCGTTGGGAAGCCTGATGAATTTGGAACCAAATTTTAAATATTCCTCGATTGATAAATTTCCATATGGAAAATTTTAAGTATATTGCGACGATCTCCAGCGGTTTGATAATTTATTTTGATCAAATTCAGTTTGAATGGGGAATCATTTACATCAGTACTAGTTGGTAAGAATTTAGATTTTTAAAACTAATTTTTTAATTTACGAGTTCTTTACAAAAAGAAAATAACGGTGCTAAAAAGTAAGAGAAAGTAAGTAGCCCAATGTTTAACTTAATTGGGGCAGTCATAAATAAAAGGGCAGAAAGTCGCAGGAAAATTTTCAATCATTCCGCAGCATTGAAAAAATAAATGATGAAAATGCAGAGACGCCAAATGAGATTTGCAGGAATATTTTTCCTTGTGTTGTTATGAGTACAGTACAGTATATATATACTGTATATATATATATATTTTTTTTTCTCTTTCCTTTTCCCCTCGTGTTTTGCACGCAGTGTATTCAGTTGACGAGGCAGGCAAAAAAAAAATAAGGGGCTTCACGCGTTGTTGGAGCCTCAGTCTGCTGTCGACCAGCAAACAGAGCAGTCATAAGGAATCGCTTGTGTGTGTGCCATTTTTATTTTGCAGTTACTGTATTTTGTTTCCCTCTTTTTCAAATTGTGGCGAAGGAGAGTTCAAAAGTGTCTCAATTTGTTTGTGGTGAAAATTTTATGGTTATTATTGTCTGAGAATTCGTGGGAAAATTTGAATTCGCTTTTATTATAGCTTAATTATCTTTGTGAAATTCTGAAAAATTCGAGACCCCCTCATCTATGAGGAAAAATATTATGGAAATTGATGTGCTCACAAAATTCAAAAATTAATTTTATAGGTTTTGAAGCATAATTTCAGAAACGTTTTATGATGTCCATGATCATATTTTATGATGCAGAGAAAAACCGGGCTACAAAATAAGTGATTCAATCCAAAATTGATTTTTTTTTCTGACTCAGTCGAACTCCACAATTTTTTTTTATCACGCATACAGTTAAATCTCATCACAACAATGAGCCATTTTGGGACAAGTACAAAAATTCGTTGTGAAGAATTAATTAAAATCGAATTAATTCTTTTGATATTAATCTTTAGATAATCTACTGATTATAATTCTTCAGATATCTAAATCTCTAAATATTATTCTTACAAAAATTGTGTACAAAAATTCGTTGTGAAGAATTAATTAAAATCGAATTAATTCTTTTGATATTAATCTTTAGATAATCTACTGATTATAATTCTTCAGATATCTAAATCTCTAAATATTATTCTTACAAAAATTGCGTTATGAAATATCTATAGAATGCATTTCAACTTTTAAATAATTAACGTGAACATTATAATTAATTTCGCAGAATCCGGAATTTTACGTACTGTAAATGATAATTGTTTGAAAAGTTTGTGAATTTTTATTGAGGAAGGAAGTTTTTGGCTATACTTATTGGCGTGACTTTTCCGAATTAAATGTTATTTAATGTAGCGAAGAAAAAGTGGCTTCCGAATGACAGTTTAATTTTCGCCGTTTGCCAACATTTCCACAAAACTTTTGAAACGAATTTTCTGCTCTTAGTCAAGATTTGTTTCTCGCTTGTTGAGTGTTTGTGCGGAACTTTTGCGAATGTTTTGGGCGCGTGAAAATTATAATTTTAGTTTTCTTGTCAGCTGGAAGCTCTTCTGAAACTAAAATAGTCATTGAAAGAGGATAATATTTATTATCCTTTCAGATCATCCATATTTTTTAGCTCTGAGCTTTTCAGCATAAATTGAATAAACGTAGACTTCGAATTAAGTTGTCAAATATTTGCGTTTTGAAGGATGTATCTGTTCACAATAAGAAGAAAGTATCGCACGATTCTGTCATCAGAAAATCCGAATATTTTACAAATGAACGAATTCGCTTTTGATTGATTGAATATACGCTGGATTATGCGTGAAATTCCCGTTTTCGTAAAGTATGAATTTTCGTTTTTTTCTAGCTTGAATATGACCCAATTTCAACAAAAAAAAACGATTTGAATTTCTTTTATTCCTCAAGATTTTCCGCTCCAATAGATTTTTTTTTCATTGTTCCTCTAAAATTTGTAGGAGGGGGAATATTTTGTATGTGTCTTCGTTAACTCACTGATAAATGAAAAAAAAGAAAACAACTTATATACCGTTTCTTAATTTTTTTAGATCAAAAAAAGATTTGTAAAAATTTCTTTTCTTAAAAATAGCACCTCACTTTATTAAAAGTCAGACATCCAGTACCCTTAACGGTGACTTTCACTTTTGATTTTTTTTTCGAATAGCAATACAATTTCAAATAAATTCAATTTTATTCAAGAGTTAGTAGAAAGTTTTTTAAATGTGAAGTGACTCAGAATTTAAAGTATAAATTGCGTGAATGTGCGTTTGAACTTCGAGAATACGATATTTTTGACTGGTATAGGAAAAATGTGTATGTTTTCATTTCTTGTTTCTTTATATATGCGTTTGAAAAAGTTTTCCCACTTTTTATTTTATGTTACTCAAGTTTTTGTTGTGTCCTGGGGTTTTAGAAATTCGAACTCCTTAAAAATAACAGGATGCTCATTCAATATGGTTTTGAAAAAAATATGATTTTTATTTTTATGACAGGTTGAAAAAGTGCATTGTTGTCACTTCTGGCAATTGTGGCATAGGGAAAAAAAACTATCTTCAGCTTGGTCATGGTGAGTTTGTATGTTTACCAGAGAGAAAGAATGTTTTTTAGGCCTCACCAAACAATGACTAACTTCACGTGCAGTCCAGTGATTGCTTTTGCAAATATGTTTTATGGAAAAGTTTTCATGCTCATTATTTGAGAGGCATTTTTTGGGGGGCTGCAGGGTTTTCATGCCTGTATTGAATGGATTGTTTATTGGGGGGTATATTCTGGGAATCTTCATGTTGTTCAGTGGGGAGGGGTGAAAAACTTTTCAGCAGGGAAACTTTTCTATACAATTTCCTGGCCCTTCCTTTTTGGTGGTGTGTAGTTAGGGTTTGATGTGGGCTGGGCTCTTCTGAACCCCTCATATGGGGGGACCTGTTTTCCCTGACCCAGTTCAAAAATACCCTGGGATTTAAATGAGCATGCATGAAAGGCATGTGTGCAGAGACCATTACATTTTTACTTTTCTGATTACAGTACATTGTGAAAAAAATGTTTTCATATACTGTACTCACATTGTTTAGCCAGCCATCCTTGAAAATTTTTGACTTGACTTATTTCATGAATTGTATTAATTTGTTTAATGGGTGCTTGGAATGGGTGAATATTTTTTTTGGTACTTCTTGACATTGCTGGAGAACCATAACATGTATAAAAAAATATTTAACAGGATTCAAGCCCTTCTTTCACCGAAATTTAATCATCATTTAATCTGTATATTTTGAGGTGTAGAGTAGACTAACTCCTGCAACATTTTGAAAAAATCCTACTTCGTAATTCATTATTTGTAGCTTTTTTCAAACAAAGTTAAAAAGGGTGGTTTCAAATAACTTAAAATTACTGTATCTCCAAAAGACAAGGATTCAAGTAAAAACTGGGGAACTTTAAAAGTTGTTCACAAAATAAAACTAAGTAAAATAAAAAGGAAAGACGGTCTGTTAGGATTGTATGACGTCCTTATTTTTTTTTAATGGTCCTAAGTTTGTGAAGTGAGTAAATGACTTTAAGTTAGTGAACTTGACTTATATATTATCCTGTGTAGATCTCCTGAAAATTGAAAATCCTAATTTGCCTTTTATCATTTCAAGCTTCTTTCGAAGACAGTTGAAAAGCGGTTTTTTTTAAATCATTATAATGTACTGCATTTCCAAAAGATAAGGATTCAAGTGAAACTGTTGCAACAAAAATGCTGTGCTTTATTTTTATATTCCACACATGCCCACATTTGCCAACCTTTAAACTTTGATCAACTTTGAATAATAGCAAGTTGCTTTGATTTGTTTAAAGACACTTTAATATAATTGCTTATGCGATGTGAATAAGACAAGCTCCAGCCAATCATCTACCCACACAACTGATGGAGCTCAGATTGCAAAATGTGTAGTTTAAAATCTGCTGATTTTCTGTTGACACGTATGAAAGCCACCTGGGTTAAGCTTAAGTGCTTCAGGAATTTTCAATCAATGTGTGGGAGTACAGAGTGAGGAAGAAGGAAATCTTGTCATCATCCTCTGCAATGCTTTGTGTGTTTTCTCCAAGCAAAACACCCACTTGAAAATTATCAATTGCTGTCTTGTTGTTCCACACCTCCTCAGATCTCTTGGAAAGCAAGTTATTACAACTTGCAATNTTTTTCAAACAAAGTTAAAAAGGGTGGCTTCAAATAACTTAAAATTACTGTATCTCCAAAAGACAAGGATTCAAGTAAAAACTGGGGAACTTTTTTTCAACAAGTGTTTTATTTTGATTCATTTTATTTTTCCTTTCTGCCAGACAATCCTAACATACTGCAGGAATAAAAAAAAATTACCAGGATTCAAACACTTCACTCATTTACTGAAATTCAATCAACTTGATTTATATATTATCCTGTGTAGATTTCCTGAAAATTGAAAAATTCTAATTTGCCTTTTATCATTTCGAGCTTCTTTCAAACAAAGTTTAAAAGCGGTTTAAAAAAAATCATTATAATGTACTGCATTTCCAAAAGATAAGGATTCAAGTGAAACTGTTGCAATAACAAATGCTGTGGTTTATTTTTATATTCCACACATGCCCACATTTTCCAACCTTTAAAATTTGATCAACTTTGAATAATAGCAAGTTGCTTTGATTGGTTTAAAGACACTTTAATATAATTGCTTATGAGATGTGAATAAGACAAGCTCCAGCAAATCATCTACCCACACAACTGATGGAGCTCAGATTGCAAAATATGTAGTTGAAAATCTGCTGATTTTCTGTTGACACGTATAAAAGCCACCTGGGTTAAGCTTAAGTGCTTCAGGAATTTTTTTAGTTACACACCCTCATGTCTCACTCCTTCTTCCTTTAGAACAGTAGTAGGAGACGTTACGAAACACACAAAAGAGGTTCGTTTTGTGGGTGAACTTTTAATAGTTAACGACAGAACAACAAGGTGACCTCCTCAGATCTCTTGGAAAGCAAGTTATTACAACTTGCAATTCAATTTGGAATGTTCCTTTAAAGTTTTATTCGATTTGGAAATTATCTGTTCAAGACAACCACTTTGAAATGTAAATTGAGGGGCAATACATTTCAATCACCAGAGGTTCAGAAGAAATGATAAAAGCAGTACTTGTATCTCTGTTTCTCTCCAACAATTCATGGCTGACATTTCAGTTGATTTGGATGACCAATTTTGCATGGAATTTGTATAAATTTTGTTAGTGGAGGTAAAATTAGTGGTACTAGAAGTAATGAGGGTGGCATTTTGAAAACCAATAAATGTAACTTCATTATATTTTTATAAATGAAGAATTGGTCCAAGTTTTGTTACTCCAGGATTAGCACACACACTCCAACATCTCCAGAGCTTCTCTCTATTTTATTTTCTTGCTTTATAGTGCACCAAAGAACCCAATGTTCCAAGGAAAATGTCCTGTGCCCTTTTTCCCCAAAGCACCACCCCCCCCTTTCCTAGTCAACAAACAACTTGTTTGTCTGTTCCAGTTATACAACCAGCAGCAGCTCTGAGGGGGAGGGAGGAAATGAGGAAACAAAAACTTGTTGACTAGTTATTTTGGGACGGAAACCCTCTCCCTTTTGTGAGGAAGAGTAAACCTTTTGCGCCAACATATTTATTATTGACGTACCTCCCGCCTTAGGGACTCGACCCAAGATGTACAGGGTGTCCTAAAACACATGCAAAAATATTCTCAGCCTAAATTAAATGGCTCTCTGTTTCACACCTGTTGCTCATGACATGAACTCACTTACTCCTCAGCACACTTACCTTACTCTTGATCCAGTCTGGAACAGGGTTGTTAATTGCAATCAAAAATTTACTATTGCAATCACAATCCATCACCGAAAAATATTCCAAAATCAAAATCGCAATTGCAAGGTACTGTTGTTCTATATCCACAATCGCAATCGCAATGCCCATTTTTATTTTTATTTTCTGTTTGTGATTGTGATTAGGTCCATTTTATCACAATTGCAAGTACAATCACAAGCCTTCAAAAAATGAATGCACAATCACTATCACAAAGATTTAAAAAAAATACTTCCCAATCACAATTGGAAGGCTTGTGATTGTGATTGTGCTAAATTGTGGCACAATTAAGTACCCTGGTCTGGAAATAAGTATTTTGAAAAATTGATGTACAGAATGTATTCAAAGAAATTTTTATTGGGACATGGGAGAACCTTTTCCCAGAAATGAATGATCAAAACAAGACTAAATTCGCAATTGTGACTATGCTGAAAGGGCCTTAATAGAATGTGTGTCTTGACTCTTCAGCAACTGCTTTTTGTGAGAATATTATGCTGCTAATTCACTGAAGTGTAACTTTATGATGGAACACACTGTATACTTGTTATTCTGATGTGAGCTGAGCTCCATGTTTTAGCTGTGCTGTATAGTAGCTCTATGTTTTGTGAAATGATGGACTTATGTAGAATATTGCAGTACTATGAAAAAATATAATATGAAATAATATATAATATAATATAATATAAAAAAAATGATCATGAGGAAGCTATTGGAGTTAGATTTGAAATAGCAAAGATTCTTGAGTTTCATATGAGCTGTGACCCAAAGTTTACTCAGTGGGGTGGGGGTGCTCATTTATTTATTTTTTATTTTTTGTTTTTGAACAACTGATCAATAAAACCCTGCCTTTGGGAGAGGGAAAACACTCCTTCTCATTTGGAAAACGCGGTTGTATAAATAATAACTGCATGGAGGGCGGAATCCCTGAGCTGGGTTCTAATACAGGGTGTCCTAAAACACATGCAAAAATATCATCAGCCTAAATTAAATGGCTCTCTGTTTCACACCTGTTGCTCATGACATGAACTCACTCACTCCTCAGCACACTTACCATACTCTTGATCCAGTCTGGAACAGGGTTGTTGATTGCAATCAAAAATTTACTATTGCAATCACAATCCAGCACCAAAAATATATCAAAATCGCAATTGCAAGGTACTGTTGTTCTATATCCACAATCGCAATCGCAATGTCCATTTTTTCATTTTTTTGGTACTGGTTGTGATTGTGATTAGGTCCATTTTATCACAATTGCAAGTACAATCACAAGCCTTCAAAAAATGAATGCACAATCACAATCACTATCACAAAGAGTTAAAAAAAGGATTTCCCAATCACAATCGCAAGGCTTGTGATTGTGATTGTGCTGAATTGTGGCACAATTAAGTACCCTGGTCTGGAAATATGTATTTAAAAAAATTGATTTACAGAATGTATTCAAAGAAAATTTCATTGGGACATGGGAGAACCTTTTCCCAGAAATGAATGATCAAAACAAGACTAAATTTGCAATTGTGACTATGCTGAAAGGGCCTTAATAGAATGTGTGTCTTGACTCTTCAGCAACTGTTTTTTGTGAGAATATTATGCTGCTAATTCACTGAAGTGTAACTTTATGATGCAACACACTGTATACTTGTTATTCTGATGTGAGCTGAGCTCCATGTTCTAGCTGTGCTGTATAGTAGCTCTATGTTTTGTGAAATGATGGACTTATGTAGAATATTGCAGTACTATGAAAAAATATAATATGAAATAATATATAATATAATATAATATATTTTTTTTACTAGTACTCCTTCGATAACCTCAATCTAAACTTTATCGTTTCTAAGAACTCAAAGTATACTCGACACTGGGTTTCAAATGAGTCACCCCACCCCCACGAGTAAATAAATAAAAAATAATATCAATATTTTCTGGTGTAGATAGTGTATATTTACATATGCTGCTCTTGTGCATGTGCTGGGTTCTGTGTCTCTCCCAGGGCTCCCCCTTTTTTTTGGGGGATGAGGACTGAGTGCATGTGTGTATGTAGGGAGGAGGAAGAGAGTTCCTCTCTCTTTCTCTTACTCTCTCTCCCGTTTTTGTTTTGTGTGTTGGCCACAGATTTGTTGGCGAACAAATGAGAAGTGGTCCGAGTCGGTCGGGGATGACGAGATGATATGTGGGTGGTGGACAACACATGTGCCACCCTGGGGTCCAGGGGTTTTCCTGTGCCAGCTTATTCTGCTTGTTTTTGGTGGGGAGGGTAAAGGGGGTGGCAGGTTTTCAAATATTGGTTATTCACAATTTTATTTATAAACATCATTAATTATATCCAAACAGTTTTCCTGATATAAGAATCAAAATTCTTCAATTATTTGTTGTGTAGAAATAAATTATGTTCAGGTGGATATTTTTAAACAGTATTCTCATGAGATTGTAGGCTTCTTCTTGTAACCTGACTATATTTTGAAATTAAAGTTACTGAAATGTCTATGTGTAGTCTAAAGAATATGTATTTTTGAAGATAAATCAGTACTTTCTGGTTGACATTCTCTGGGCATGTGAGATTTTGAGAGTGAATACCATTTGAAGGACATTTGGTTGTAATCTTTGTAAACCTATGGATGTTGCAAGTGTTAGGGAATAGAACAGATTATCCCTATTTGTAATTTCAGTGACTAGAGAGATTAGGTCAGTTTTAGTTTTGCATGCGAGCATTTCATAAATTTTGATATGCTTTCTAATTATTCATCCTAGCCTGACCAGTAGGAAAATTGTTAAAATGTGACAAAACTGATTTTATGAAGAATTATTCTTTGTCTAATCCCAATTTGATGAATGAAAAGGAATTTTGTTTCAACTGCAGATTTGTGTCAAGCTAATAATGCATAAGGTTAATTAGACATGAGGCATGATATTTTAGTGAGCCAGGGATTATGATTTATCCAGAGCTCTAAGTATCCAAAAAAACACATAGTAAGATAAATTCTCAGGAAAGTTTTAAGTTAAAACAGAACCTTTCATACGGTAGAACGTCAAAGTACTTATCCCAACGACTTTTGAGAGTCCTTACTTATAATTACACATATGAAAATGCTATCCCATTGCAAGGACAAAAATTGAAGATTTTGAAATTTTAAAATGCAAGTCAAATGCAACAAGTGGTTGGTTATTAATAATCCAGTGCTCTAAGCTTCCTGTAATCTGTATCATTCTATTTACAAGTCTCTTTAAAATTGAACTTTGTCTTTAAATGTATGCCTTAAATCTTGCAGTTTCAAGAATAGAAGTTATTGAAAACTCTTTGAAATGAATATTAATGTCTATATAGAAATGCCTTTTGCATCAACTGAAGTATGAGTTTTTAAATATTTCAAATATGCTTGTGAAAGAAAACAAGAGTGGTTGATGAATGTAGGTTACAAATTTAGGAACCAGGATAGTTCCCAGACCCTCTTTTTGAGGCAGCAGCAGAAAAAGCAAAACCTTGCGCCACATTAGGAACAGGATGTGAGGTGGGGGGGGTTTCTGACTCTCACTTCCTCTTGGACAACAAGAAGGGGGGGACCCTTTTTTACTCTCCCTCCTCTCGTGTCATACTATAGTCCTGTCATTCCTGACAACGACACACATTCATGCCCCCCACCCCCTCATATTTCACATGTGATGCAGCTCTTTTTGAGTATCCTGCGTGTTGAATGGGACTGATATCGGGGAGTACTCGACTACTGTGTAAAACGAGACCACGCGAAATTAAACTCCAATGTCGTCAACCGTAAGTTCAAAAAGTGGTAAAAAATTTACACTTTTAAGGTCCTCTTTCTACCTCAGTACTACAAAACCATTATACATTGATCTTTTACTGTAATATGTATTTAAAGAGTCTTTTGGGGTGGAAGAGTACTGGAACTACAAATAAAAATAAAATACTCCAAAAATAGATTGTAGTTTCAGCAATGTGTTGTATGACAGTTGAGTGAGTGTTTTATTTTTTATCTTTTGATTTGATCAATTTGAGGAAAAGTTTAGAAATATTCCCAACTGAGAAGAACCTCCCTGTACTATTTAAGATGCATTAATACTGCTGATATTCACATTCTCAAGTGGCATTGATTCAGATGTATACTTAAACAGTACTCATTTGCTGTAGAAAAAAAAACATTTATATTCTTTTCCAAACCCAAATAAGACCCTTGCAAGATAAGGGAGATCCCCTTGAACCTGGGTACACTTTTTTGTTTGCTCAAAGGTGTGGGTTGCTGTAACCATACATTAGAGATTATCATTTGTTAGAGTAGAACCCACTTCCTGAGAATGAACTAGTGTGACTCAGTTCAAAATAGTGAATGACTGATGGAGACATCTTTGAAACAATTTGCATCATTCAAACTGAGTGATGGGAGCATACATTATTTCATTTGATGTATCCTTTTTCTGATGTATGCAATCATTGATTTCTTTGGATTTAGAAAAATCCTGATTTATTGTCATAATATACTTGCAATTACTGTATTTGGGAACATTCCTTGCTTTTAAGACTATTATTGAACTGCTTCTGAACTTTCATGTATTTACCCCTTTTCATATCCTAAAATTGAGGTATTCTTCCAGGAATTGCTTTTGGATATACAGTAGTATTGTAAAATTCCTGGTATATCAAGAGTGATTATTTTAATCAGCAAAACATGGGAGCTTCCTTCAACCTGTATTTTATGCTTTATATTTTTATTTTTTGCATGCTGCATTTCTATTCAACTTATTTTGCAGTATATCAGTCCTTGCATGCAACAAATCTTTGCAACCCAAACATTTATCAATTCCAGCTGTCTTAGGAAAAATAAGTTTGTCCCATGTTTACTATGCGAAGTTTTAAAATTTCCATTATGCTTCTTGAATAAAAATGGAATATTTGAAAAATTCAACATAATTGTAAATAGGATTGTATTGCAATTCCCAGAAACTTCCTCACATGTGTGGTTTTGCATTTTTATGGCTGGGAGTTTGAGAAATTTTATACAGCCATATTATTGAAAGGAGCTGAGTTGAATAATTTTGAAAAACCTTTTAAAATATCCCCATGTACTATGAATAAGTGAGACATGGACTTATTAATGAAACTTTTTGTGGAAGTCATGGGTCATTTTTTGAACAACTTTCTCACAACATTCTCCTTCTCCACTTTATTCAGATAAAAATAATGCAGCATTACAGAAACATTCTTTTAGTTCCTCCTTCAGATATAGCAGCAGGTGGGCTTGTGGAGATGTATGGCAGTTCTAGAAAGACGAGTATACTAGATGCTGGGCTTCTGTTTTTAATTTCCTCCCTACTTGTTTCTCAGGACTGTCTGTCCCCCAGTTTTTCCTCCTCTGTCTTGGGTCCCCAAGTTTCCAAATGGGGCCTCATAATGGGCCACACGTGTTCTTATGTCTCTATTTCCTGTGTCTAGTTATTTTCATTGTCATGGGGGACTTGTGCAGTATCCATCGAATTTCAATTTTCATGGATTCCTTAGTTCATAAGCGTTGATTTTTTTTAAAGGATGAGATTGATTTTCAAATCCAAGATTTTACATTTCTCCCCAACATTCAAGGGTATTCCATAGAAATACAATTTTTTGAAATTCTGGGAAAAAGCTGTTTTCATAAATTTAATTTTGGCCTCATGCATGTTCCATGTTTGAAAAAAAGATTGTATGCTAAAAAAAAGTTGAACCTTGATTAGTCAACTTAATTATAAAAAATAATCACATGAAAACATTGTTTCAAGGTCATAGCCATGATGTTTATACGCCTCTGTGTTACACATTTGCCATTTAAAAAATTTCCCAGTCCCTTTTACTTCGTTTTTTTCTCAGGATTAATTGTATACTTCAGTGTACAGTATTTTGAACAATTTCAAGCTGTTCATTAGTTTTTAGTGTGCTTGAAAGCTTTGCATCCCCTCAGTATATATTCATCTTTCTTTGCAAATGTAATTTACATATGCAAATAGTTTCCTGATGGAACTTCCAAAGTTGATAAATTTTACTGTAAACTACCTTAGTTGCAATGTTTTTTGACACAGGATGAACCTTGTCCTTGTGAAGCTGCATGGTCAGCATGGAAAGCTTTAAATTATCATGTATGATCTGCTGCCATACTTGAACCTCATCAATCAAATTTTGACAGCTACACTTGAATTGAAAACTGAAACTCTTAGACTATGAGTTGATGCTGTTCTTAAATTTTAAAAGTATATTCTGCATTTGAAAAATTCAGAATGCTGTTGTATATAATTTTTTCATTTTTAAAATTCTAGTTCATAGAGGCTTTGTAAACAAACTTTTAACCCCAAGACGAACAAATTGAGACGTTTTTATATTAAAACTAACTTCAATATCAGTTTACATAGTAAACTTACTCGGACTTACTTACACAGAACTTAAAAATTTTTTAATTTCTCGACCCATAGTTGAGATGTTGGCTCTCTTTTCTTTTTAGGAAGAAGAGGAATAAAGGGGGTGACTTATGTGATGGTTCCCACATTCCATGCATTCTAAACTGGCAACCCTTGTTGTGCTTGCATCAAGAGCAAACTTCTTTCCATTTGCCTCTACCAACAAAAGGAAAGAAATGGTTTATTTTCTCTTGCTGATGTGGGAGAGGAACAGGTCTAATAAACAATAAACAGGGCAGGGAATGAAGAAGAGGAGGAAGGAAGGAAGGAAGGAATGAGGAAAGCAAAGCAGAAAGGGGGGGGGGGGATTTCGGGGCCGTTGAACAAACAAAACGTTGTTTACCACGCCTGTTGCTATGGGGAGAGTTTTTTGTGATCAATGCTGTGTTTGTGCTCTGTTTTCCCTCAACTCTTGTCACACTGTGCCTCTGTGTTGTTGCTTCATCCTGGCTTGCATGTGTGGTCCACACACACACACACACACACACACACACTGTGACACATATGGAAAAAGGGAGATACTCCACACACACACACACAGACACTCAGTTAGTACTGACCAATTGGTAGTCTAGGGGTTACAAAATAAAATAAATAAAAAAATAGACCTTTGACCGGTTCAAGTAAAATTTTCTTTCTTTTTCATCTGCCAACAGCTGGAGACATTGAGAGAAAAGAGTGTTGGGTCAGAGACAACAAAAGTTAGAACCCTTCCTGGACTCAGGAGTGTGGATGAACTGTTGGACCCTGATGAGCCTGGTGTCCTTATTGCAAGTGACTCTGATGATGAACCTAAACCTCAGGTGAGTTGTTTCTTCTCATGACACTCATTAGCAATTACAATATATAAAGAGTTTTGCTTCATTCATTATTCCATCACCATAACTACAGCCACTAGACTTTTGAACAAACCATTGTGAGATTCAATGTGTGCATTATTGATATATGTTTGTAAATGAACTTTGGGGGTTTTTTGAATTAGAATTTTAGTCACAATTACTGTATTCAAAGTGGTTTTCAGCATTGGTCCTGGTGTTAACATTGACAGACCGCGGGAAAATCAATGAGACTACTACTTGGATTTGGAGTCTACTCAAGAGTTTAACAGAGAAGACTTCTGTCAGAATATACTTGTCGTTAACATAACTCTTAAAAGAAGTTCCATTCCATCAACATCTGGACTGCTGAACAAAGTAGTCTGCTTAAAGTGTAAGACTCAATGTATGCATTTATTGTTTATAAGAAAATCAGATTTTTTATATTTGCTCTTTGATCACATTTATTGAAACTGTTTACCATCATTGGTCCTTGAAAATTGAAAATATTACTCACTATTCTTTTTTAAATTAAATGTCAGGTAAGACATTGGCTTTTTGGTAGAAAATTAAGAAAAGAAAAAAACTTGCAAATGTCACAGAGCATGGGATCAGAGCAGCTGGGCACCCTGATGCAGCATTTGCACCAAGAGATGAGAAACCCTTCAGCAGGAGAGAAGCAAGCCCACTTATTGCAGCAGTTTCTGAACCAGCAACAGGAAAAGTGCTCATCAGACCTTCTGATGAGACTGCAGCACCAGAACCTGGCCTTGCAGCAGTTCAATGATTTGCAAACCCAATACTTGATGCTGAAACCTGACAGGATTCTTGAGCAGGACAAATTGAGGAACCAAACATTTCTGGAGAGTCTGTTGGATGACAAGAACTGCTGGAGGAGAATGAACCCTGCTGGTATTGAACTTTCTCTTTAGCCATTGCTGGTCAGTGTTGCCAGGATTATTCAGCAAAATTCAGGTCCTCTGTCATCATGGAGAGAAAATACAACTGATGATATTCACATGTGTGCTTCTGTTGAATGTAATCCAGAGAAGGAAAAAGTTCTTTCAGTTTTAAGCAATTTAAATCTCAGAAAAGAATCAACTGAGAAGCTTGGAGAAGAAATAGTGTTATGCATATAGTTTTCTTTCAAAATATACCATGGATGCAAAAATACCCTGAAATTTGAATTCATATAAAAATATAAAATCTGTTTGAGTTTTGAAAAGAAGAAATTGTGGTCTGCTCTTCAGGAATGATGCTGAGCAATCATCAGCAGCCTCAAAATGGTCTCCAACCAGGGATCAATAGACTCCAAGATCCCAATGGGTCATCTCAGGACCTTGCAGGGCTCTATGCTCATGGTTTATGCACTTGGCCAGGATGTGAAACTGCCTGTGAAGACAAAGCCTCACTCTTCAAGTATGCTTGAACCCTTTTTTTCCTTCTGACAAAAGTTGTTATAATTGTTGTGGTTTTTTTTGCAGGCATCTCTACTCAGAGCACAGATTAGATGACAGGTCAGCAGCTCAGGCAAGAGTTCAAATGCAGGTGGTTACTCAGTTGGAAACCCAAGCCCAGAGAGAAAGAGAAAAACTGAATTCTATGATGGCACATTTGAGGACTTGTGCACCTGGAAACCCTGGGTATTTGCCTCCAGAGGTTACTATGGTGAACCATTTTGAACCCACACCATCACTGGTAAAAAAAAAAATTCTAGAAATACAGCACCAGCAGTTTAAATTTGTAGATTTTTTTTCTCTTCTTGCAGAGGTACAAGTTTGCTTCAAAGGAACCATATGCATACTTCCATCATCAGGATACTTCAGGAACCAAAAGAGTTTCCTCCTCCACAGCCTCTCCAAGTGAGCCAAAGAGGATGAAAGCAGACCCTGATGAATCCATGGGTCAGTCACAGTTGGTCTATAACCTCTTATTTCCATAGAAAGTTAAAGTTCTGTCTTCTTTTTGCAGATGCTTTCCAAGACTTATCCAGAAGAAAGTTTGAAACTCGGCCTGGTAATGATTTGAGTGCAGGTGAGTCAAATGGCAAAGAGTCTAATATGTAAGGTTGACTCTCAAACTATTTTTTCTTGCAGAAATTCTGAGAAATGGTGACTTCTACAAGGCAAATGATGTCAGACCTCCATACACTTATGCAGCCTTGATAAGAGAGGTGAGGCAAATGAAGGCTGTTCAAACACTCTGAACAGTTGGTCAAGTGTGTTTGTAATTTTCATTGCAGGCAATTATCCAGTCCCCAGAGAAGCACCTCACATTGAATGCCATCTACAACTGGTTCCAAAATACCTTTTCCTACTTCAGGAAAAATACTGCCACTTGGAAGGTGACTTTCATTCCCTCTTAAACCCTTAATGTGCATGAGGGCATTTTGCATGATGTCCATATGCTGCAGTAACTTGCTGAATTTTTAATCTGGTCAGGGAAGCGCTAAAGAAAAAGGAGGGTTGTTGAAGGGAGTGCCATTGATTACCCTGGTCCTAGTTTTTTGTTGTCATGTGACCTGCTTGTTGGGCAATGCAGTGTGTATCACCCTTTCTTATATTTGCAGAATGCTGTCAGGCATAACCTGTCTTTGCACAAATGCTTCATGAGGGTGGAAAATGTGAAAGGAGCTGTTTGGACAGTGGATGAAGTGGAATTTTGCAAGCGAAGGCCTCAAAGGTGCTCAACTGGACTGGGGTCAGTTTGTTCCCAATGAACTCACTTCTGGTTCAACCTGTCTCAGAAATGTTAGACATTGTAATGGCATTTTATATAGAAACCATGATCACCCAGTATAATATAATTTCATAATTTAGGACAAACCTCAAGTTGAAAGCAGTTGTGTCACTTATTTTAATGACTTCCAGGAGTGCTTAAAATTGAATCCATGTATGATCTTCAATACATGATTTAAGTACTGTACTTGATTTTCAGCCCTAAGGCCAACATATTCCAACAAAATCTATCATCCCAAGATATTCTCTTCACATTGTAGGTGAAGACTCAGAAAGTCAACATAAGTCTTTTAAATATAATATCAACACTACCGAACCTTCCAAAAAATTTAATTTACAACAAAAGAAAAACTTATGTATAAACTAAAAGATGAGGATGATTCAGCTGTGAGATTCATTCCCTTCTTCTGAGCTGATGACTTATGACTAAATAAGATTTAATGGTGGAAATTAATAGCAGCCATTCAAGCTCTCTCCAAATAAATGTGGACTTTTCTTATGTCAAAATTAGGTTTTCATCACCTTGGAATAAAATATGACTTTATCTGCTAAAAGACTGTTTGTGAATACATTTATGAATAGGGATTGTATGTTTTCTGCAGGGCTCATGGACAAGATGAAAGTAAAGCTCTGGATCTAAGCCACATGGAAGGCTCCAGCAATGACAGCAACATAACCAGATCACCAACAGAGTACAAGAACCATTCTTCTTACCTGGTTCTGAATAGTGATGGCTCTGGTCATGCTTGAGTCCTGCATCCAATGGTGAAGGAAAAAGAAAAGGCTCATCCACTGGATGCTCAAAAAAAGGGGGAAACAGTTGGAATATGTTTTTAATCAGGGAAGAAACTTGGTCAGTTTTTTGGTCAGATCTCAGCATTTAATTTGTTTTTGTTGGTCATGTAAAGGTGTGGCTTTTTTGGTGTGTGACAGGTGTTTTGGTTCCCTCTTGGGCATGAATTCCTTGTTGGTTTTTTTGTTGTGATAAACAAAAACAATCATTTTGAGACATGCAGTTCAGAAGTTTATTCCTTGATCTACCTTATCCCATAATGCATAAAAGGTTGGAGTCTGGGTGGAACCATTGGTGGTCCAGGTGGATGAATTTGAGGATGGTGGCCCATGGACATCCCATGTTTCGGTGGGAAAACATAGTACTTCTCTACATTCACCCTTTCTTTTATATGTGTCCTTTGGTGGTGTGAATCCCCATGGTTGTCCAACAGCCTTCTTAATGCTTTGGCCAATTGTTCATCTTGGAAGAATCTTGACTTTTCTGTGATGACTTGCTGAAAGAACCACAATGCTCATTATGAATACAGTCAACCCCCGTCTAATGGACTTGATTTGTGCAAGGGGCAAGTCTGTTAGACAAAAAGTCCTTTACACAAATTCAATTACATAAAAAATTTCAATTTTCAACACTAATTTTAAACCAAAAGAAGTCTGTTTGGCGGATTTTGTATGTTGGGCGGGAGGAAAACTGCTTGCAGAGCTGGTCTGTTTGGCAAAAATCCCTTACACGGGAGGTCTGTTAGGCAGGGGGCCACTGTACTTCAAAATGGAAACGTAACTGCATCATGGAACTCACTGTAATGATATGAGTGGTTCTCTTGTGGGTTGTAGTTGTTGTGGTAGGGGTTGTTGTGGGAGTGGTTGTTGTAGGAGTTGTGGTTTCAACAGTGGTTGTGGTTGGAACAGTGGTTGTATGTGGGGCAGTTGTGGTATGTGGGGCAGTTGTGGTATGTGGGGCTGTGGTTGTATGGTGCACAAAAGCTGTGGTCTCTGGTGGACTTGGTGTACTGTGGACTCCTGGGGTGTGTCTGTGGGTTGCCTCAACAGTCCAATAGGGTTCCTCAGGGGTGGTGTGAACTCTAGTGATGTAGATGGGGGTAGGGTATGGAGGACTGTAAGGAAAGTAAGTGGGGAGAGGAGGGTATTCAGGGAAAGGTGGATAGGTAGGGATCTGTGGGAATGTTGGGTACCAAGTAGGAGCAGTAGGGATTGCAGCAGGAGTTTGGTGATGGGTACTCAAAGTGGTCTGGGGTGTTGCTTGGGTTTGCTGTCCATAACAACAAAAGATCTGCTGAGGCAGCTGTTGCTGATTGTTTTGATTGCCCATGCAGAACCTGGGCCATCCTGCATTGCCCTTCTTCATCTTATTGGGGTTACAGCAAACACATGTGATTCTCCTGCTGCTGTTTTCAGAATCATAGTCCTCATCACTTTCAGAAGACTCTTCCCCAGGGTTTGGATGATTGATGGATGAAGAACAACAGCATGCTGGTGAACATGTTGGTTTTGGAGGAGTAGTAGAACGCCTTTGGTGCTTTCTTATTGACTCTTTGCACTCTTCCTCACTGGGCTCTTTGCATGGTTTCTTCTTCTTCAGGCTCTTTTTGGGGTTCTTGCACTTGGGGTTATTGTCCTCCCTTTTCTCTCTATAGGTGCACTCTCCTGATGGTAGGCCTTTCTGCTGATCCCAGTGACTCTTGATCTTGACAGAGTAGTTCAACTCTATCCCACCTATATATTGGTTGCACATGGACCTCATAAGCAGCAAAAATAAATTAATATTTGAAATATATGTATAGAACCTGATCCTGATGGGAGGAACAAAGTGGTTGTGTTGGTCAAAGCAGATGACAAACCAAGCAAGATCAAGGCTGTAGCAAAAGTCCATATTGCATTCACCATTGTTTCACTGCAGGACTACATCAAGAGAGTCTTGGCCTGAAAGCACATCACTCTATCTCTGGAATTTTAAAGAATGTGGTTAGGAATAGTAAAGGAATGGTTGTGAGAAATATTAATGTGAAAGTCCTGATGAGTGGATTCTTTTCTCTTTTTTTTTTGGAAAGGAGGATAGTGTAAATGTTTTTATTCAGCAATTGGAATTACACATGGAGCAGGGATTGTTTGTCTGGGATGGAGGATTTGGATTCTGTCCATTGTTGTTTGGACAACAGCAGCAAACATTGCAATTGGCTGAAGGAGAATTACAGCCAGAGTTGGAACTTTGGCCTGGACAACAGCAGATGATCTGATACGGTCTTGATTTGTTATTGTTGTTGGGATTCCTTTTGTTGCTGCAGTCACAGCAACAGCAGCAAGCAGAAGTGTCATCAGCAGAAGAATCTCCAGGCTCATCATCATCATCATCATCATCATCGCCATCATCATTATTGCAGCATAAATAACAACATTCTGTCTGCTGTTTCTTCCTCTTCTTGTGCTTCTTTCTTTGCTTTTTCTTCTTGCACTTGCACTTGATTCTGCAGACACCACAATCACAGCCTCTTTTCAGTCTGAAAGGCTGTGCCAGAGGGTCCTGATGGACCTGGACTATTTCAGCATCTATGGGTGGGATAATTGCACAGACTTTCAGAATGTATTCACCAAATATATGCATATATTTAATTGGAGGCTCAATTTGGAACAATAAGCTCATAATTTGGGTTTTATATTAGACATATACAGTACTAAGCAGCTCACCTTTACCAGAAGAGTTGAAGATGCTGCCATCTGGTGGAAGAGGAGGGTCTTTTGAACTTGCCTCAGTTGATACAAATGTGTATTCAATAGCAAGCTTGCTGATTTCAGTATGACCAGCATTTGCAGAACTTGTACTGCCAATAATCAGCTGAAGAACAAGCAAGCTCAAGGTTGCAAGCTGAAGCATCCTATAACATACACAGAGCTTTTCACACCATATTTCTGTTTATATGATATTTTTTGTCCTGCAAAAGAGGAGTAGGAGAGATGTAACTTCAGAAAGGTCAAGATACAATTTTATTATGAAGGTGTTTCAATAGGAGTTTCTTTAATAATCAGCAATACAGTATTTTAATAAATGCATGCATGCAGTGGCTCCATCTTCAGTAGCATCCATGGACTCATCTTCCTTCTGCAAAGGCCTGTGTCTATTTCTTCATGATCTTCATGGCCATAGAATTTGTTTTCCTCGCGGAAATTTCATTTGAATAAATAAGATCCAATGCTGAAGATTTGGAAATGGACCTCTCATCCCTTCCTTTACCTCCAGTCCAAGAAAACCTGCCAGTGCTAGCGTCACCTATGACCCAGCGGTCAGGATCATCGGAGTCAAGTTCCCTAGATGTCGCTCCATATTGAGTCGGAGCTCTGAGAAAGTTCTTCTTCGGGCTCCGTTGCGGCTTCGAAGTTTCTCTCTCACCGGAATCCATTTCATGGGTTGGAATCAACATGTCAATGAGTTTCACAATCTTTTTTCCACGTAGTAACTCAAGAACAAAGCGATGAGTCTCAGGAATTATGGGTGAAGCAGGAGAATCACAACTGTAAGTTGGCTGCAGGGAGAATTCGGATAATGCAGTGACACCTGGGGATGACTTGAGAAACTTTGGCGAGTCGCCTTTCAGCTCTATGTGAAGAGGCTGTTCGTTGGACACCTTTGCATCCAGTTGACTCATGACTAATTCGTAGTCTTGGCTGGATAATAAGTCCTGCAACAACGATTTTTTACACTGTGCACAGCGGGATTTGGTTGCTGAAGCTCTTTGCAGCTGGTCTTTCATGGAGAATTTCTCTCTGGAATCCTGATTTTTCTTCAAAAGAAGCCCGAGATCCCCTTGCTGCAGATCCTCATCAGATTCTAAGATAGCCAAGCAGAAACTATGAATTGCATGCAGCAGTATTTTGCTATTTGATATTCCGCAATATATGAGCAAAGTTTCATCAGAGAATTGACAATTTATCCAATCATTTTTGTTCACAGCAGTCACTGTTGAAAGATAAATTGGTGGTTTTACATGCATGGATCTGGTGAACTGCTGAAGCAGTTATATTTTTAATATTTTTTTCATTTGATATTCCACAATGTACAGTCAACCCCCATCTAACGGACTTGATTCGTGCAAGGGACAAGTCTGTTAGACAAAAAGTCCTTTACACAAATTCAATTACATAATAGTTCGCCGCAAGGCGGCGCTGCCTGAGACGGACGAAACGACACCTAGCCGAACTGTGGTTGCCTACAATTTACCAGGGGCGACACCTAGTGTCGAATCTGTTGCAGAGGTACGTGTGACTCTCATTCCCAACCTTTTTTACTGATACAGTTTAACCTCTCAGAGTCAAATTTAAAGGGACCAGGGAAACAATGTGACTTGGGGAGGTTTTGATTTTTTGAGGTTTTGAGTAAAAGAAAACAAACATTTCTGCTGCAAGGAAAAGTTGAAAAAAATTGTGGGAAATTTTAGATGAGGATATTCTGGGCGTAGACTTGCTTTTTGATATGAGTTTACAGCTTGCTGAACTTGGAGACAGTGGGTTCATTTGTTCAATTAGTGTCTTTCACTTCATTTCAAGATAAATAAAATCATTTGTTTTACGGAGTTCTCCTTCATATTTCAAGGAAATAATAACCAAAAGGCCTCAGAAAATTTGACATACAGAAGTTCAAGACAAAAATACTTCAAGTTAGGGAAGTTTTTAATGCATTGTTTCTGAGGGAATCCGGACAGGGACTTGAAAAACAATTTTGAGTCAGGGAGGTTTACAACTTAGTGAGGTTTGACTTAGCAAGGTTGAACTGTATATATACAAGCTTATTTGCTGCTTTTCAGTATTCACTATGGTTCAAAAAGTGTTCTGAACCTTGAAAAATCACATTTACCTTGAAGTTTCAGTACTTTTAAATGCACTAAAGTTCTCCAGTTTGCACAAGGGAGTAATTTTATGAATATTCAAAAGTGTACTTGAAAAAATCAGTCATTGGATTGAGAGATTTTACTGCCCTGCATTAAAGTGAAGTACTAATGGAGCTTCTTTATTCTTATGCAAGAAAAAATTTTAAATTCTGTTGAAAAATATAAGAATAATGAAGACTCAAAATTCATGGGGAATTGAAAAGCATAAGAGATAAATCCAACAATATGAGTCACTCACAAAGAAGAAGAGGAACATAAAAATTATGCAATGAAGAGCAAATATAAGTGTGATGTTCTTTACATGAAATCTTAAATTCTTCTTGGGCTTGACCAATAAAGGAAAAAAAGAAACCATCTCTAAGTCTCTATTTAAGGTTAACGTTTAAACGGTTAATAAATATGATGCTTTGACCTTAACTTAAACGGATAAAAAGAAATAAAACAGGGACCTTTCCAAAAGTTGTTTAAACCTCTCTAACGGCTAGTGAGGATCCTGAGGCCAGGGAACCCAATTCCTGGGGATGTGAAGCAGTTCCTTGGGAAGCACCCTGAAATTGGCAACTGTGTCTGTGCTCTTGTGGAATTTGATAAGACTGAATATGCAAAGAAGGCTGTGGCAGAATCTGCTCAGGAGACATCTGAGAACTGGAGAGGAGTCAAAGTCCTGGAATTGGCTCTCAAACCAAAGAGGGTGAGTCCAACTACCATTTCTTTCATAAAAAGAAATGCATGAAGCATAAATTGGATGGGATTTTCCCGAAAATATCATTTTAAAAATCAATATACAGCACAATACTGTATATCTTGGTATAATCACTTGAAATTGCTATCCAAACACTAAAGAAATATATCAAGTCATAAATATGTATAATGAATTTCAAAATCCGTTATTTTAGTAAAGTCAACTTGTAAAACTTCAACGTACAATAGAAGTACTTTAATACTACCTATGAACTCCAAGTTTAAGTGTGAACTTTTACATTTAGAACGTGTACTGGAGTGTAGTATGCGTACTTTTGTTATTTTTCGAAATAAAAACGCATCATCATCCTTTTTTTCTGGGACCTGTAACATTCTATAAATACTTTTTTGTTTAATTTTGTCAAAGATGATTACACTGTCCTCTCTGTGGATTCTCCTGTTTCAATTATGAAATATGAAATGGTTTCAAACATTTTATTTTTTGGTGTAATAATAACTTGTGTTTGTGAAAGCATCTAAAAAAATATTTTCACATTCTGTTTATGACGTAGCAGTCTGTCATATATTCAGGTAAACATTATGAAAGTTCATGATTGAAGATTATTATTGGCAATAATAAGTTGCCAGTAAATGCAAAAAGAATACTGCCTGTTATACTGGGTATAATTCAACCATCAACAGGGATGAGACAACAATAATGCAAAATTTTCCAGTTCAGCATTGAAGTACAGTGAAGCCCCAACATGCAGACACCTCAACATGGGGACAATTCGACTTGGAGACATTTATTTTTCAATAAAAAAAATCATTAAAAGAGGCCCAACAGCATACAGACACTGACTCAACATGAGGACATTGCGTGATAAAATTACCAATAAATTTCAGGAAAATTGATTTTATTATAAGGATTAATTGCAAGAAAAAGATATTTCCAACCCTAAGATTCATGCAAGAAACATTCTTTGGTACTTTTCCCATCACTTTCCCATCCATTCAGCTAATTAAAAAATACCTATAGCGCAGAGGGACTTCCTTCTCTCTTTATGACTTGAATGTTATTTTTGTAGATGCCAAAATTTCAATGAATTGTACAGGGGTCTACTATTCAATGCTCCAAATGTTCTTATATTGAGTTGAAAAGATATTCACTGAATCAAATTCAAGCGGCAAACAACTTTTTTTTCATGGAATTCTGAAGAATATGTCTTCCATAAAATACCAATTAAAAAGTATATAGTGTAAGTCTATGCTGGGAAAACAAATCCTCACCCTCCAACATGTATCATTATTTTTTTTTTTCACTTGTGATGCCATACTACGGTTATTGGAATAAGTTGGGGTTTGGTCGGGGGGGGGGTGAGGGAGGAAATTATTTTACCGTAACAAGAATACAGTACAGTACGTCCTCTTCGGCGTCTTTTCACCCTTTTACTCGTCGCGAGAGCGACGACGGTCAGACACGTCGGCCCTGTCTGGCTCAGAGCGAGAAGAGCTGGAGCAGCTCCGACGCAGGCAACACCATCATCAGCAGCAACAGCAGCAGCGGAGACGCGGCTCCAGAGTGGATGTCCTAAGGAGAGATAGCTACACCTGGGGCGACTCGTCTGGACACAGTGGCTCAGACTCGGATGGCAGCATGCTCAACCTGGCTGGCATTCATGGTGATTATATATACAGTCAACCCCTGTCTAACGGACTTGATTTGTGGAAGGGACAAGTCTGTTAGACGAGAAGTCCTTTACACAAATTCAATTACGTAAAAATTTAAAATTTCAATTTTCAACACTAATTTTAAACCAAAAGAAGTCTGTTAGGTGGATTTTGTCTGTTGGGCGGGAGGAAAAACTGTTTGCAGAGCTGGTCTGTTTGGCAAAAATCCCTTACACGGGAGGTCTGTTAGGCAGGGGGCCACTGTATATGAAAAGTTGTATAGAAGGGTCAATTTCTGCAATTAGTTTTGTTCAAAGTCACTTTTGAAATAACTTTGTGGTTTTACAGCTATATCCAGAGATATCAAGACCTGAAGCAGTATTTTTTTTTAATTGTATGTATGGGACAATGCTGTGGACTTGGTTTTTTAAATGTACTTTTTATTATTAATACAACATATATGTTTTTTTTTTTAACTTGGTGAAAAGGTTTTGCAGCTGTTTCATCAGCAATGAAAGAAGCTCACCAGAAGCTGCCAAGTTAGTCTGAAACCCCTCCTTGGATCCCACAGAGTCAGCATGGAAGCTGGCACAAATGGACACCAAGGTACACAGAGGCAAGAAGCCAACTGTGAATTTCAAGTACTTCATTTGGGGACTTGATCAGGAACACAAGACATATAGGAATGACTAAGTGAGTGAGTGAGTGAGTGAGTGAGTGGTTACTGGGTGGAGGCAATAAATCAAAGTGAGGTGCATGTGTTTGCTAATCACTTATTGTAAATTAAGAACTGCTTTCTCAAAGCATCTCCACCGCCATGTTTTCTTTTAATTTGGCAACCGCATTCCTTGATTTGTTTGTCTAACACTGGTTGTGCCACTCCTACACAAATTTCCAGTCTAATATGAAAGCTGCAAAAGTTCAATGCCATACCTTCAGCTATGATTTTTTCATATAGAAGTGGATTTGTTGCTAGAAAAATATGAGACACTACTGGTTTTCTTAGTTGACACTTTCAATTGAAAAGGGAAAGAAGCAAACTTTTTGAATAATTTTCTTTATGACACACTCATTGATCATGATACAATGTAATGATTGGGGATATTCCAATGTTCTTGGTGCTGCACCAAGGGTCTTCTCCAATGTTTTTGAGGATTTCTGGGCTCATTCATCTTGAGTGGAAGGATGAAAACAGTTTGAAGGCCACTCCTTTTCATCATTTCCTTGCTTTGGTCCATGACTTTTGTGGTTACCATTGGTCTGAGAGTCCTGCTGATGGTAGTTGTGCTGGTCTCCAGCTCAGGTGTAGTTTTGGTTGATGGAATAGTATGAGTCTTATGTTCTGCATAGCAGATAATGATGGGGACTGGCACTCTTTGTTCGGTGCTTTCTTCAGACTGACTATTACCACTGCAGTGCTCTTGACTGTAAGACTCTTTACTGGTTTTGGCAATGTGAAATTTGTAAGGATGACTTTTACCATTTGGATGCCTCATTGACCTTTTGGGCAATGCATTATCGGCTATGGTTTCTTTCTTCAGGATGTAATCTACACTGTTTTGTATGGAGGTCTGTCTTGGAGACCTTTTGGACAATGACTTTGAAGAGCCATATTCCATTTTGGGAAGTGAGAGCAGATTATGAGGGATATCTTGATTGGTTTCAAATGTTGCTACTTCATCAAATGTTATATCTGGGACCATCAGGCTGAGTGGATCATCTGATTGAGTTGGCAATGGAGTGATGGTTGGGTTATGGTTGCTGGATGGTACACTGGTGACAGTGTCATTCAGTGCTTCCAAGTAGTTGTGGAAAAAGAATGATCTTTTTGAGTTGAGCAGATGTAGTTGTGAAGCAAGTTCTGCTGGACTGAGTGCATTCTTGGCTGGACCAATGGTTGTTGATTCACTGTTGGTGGTGGTGACACAAGTGCTGGAGCTGGGTGACTCAGTCAGATTCTTGATGGGCTTCTTTCTTGATTTCCCCTTTGTGAGAATCCACACATCTTCCCCAGAGGCTATCTTGTCAAGCTCATCATCAATGGTACCATTCAAGGTCACTAGTATGAGCTTAGAGCGCTTGGCAGTGTCCATTGATGGTGGTGCCTTTTTGTTATTGCATGGCTCCAGCCTGGTGCTTAGGACAAGGTTCTTCAGTCCCTGAGTGCTGTGATACTTTCTGGAGGTGCTTTGATTATCAAGGGCACTGATTAGGGATGATAGTCTTTCTTCTGGACTGGGTTTGAAAATGCCAGTGAGGGTCCTTTCTTTCACCAAGGTCCTGCAAACTGAGCCATATTCCTGCTTCTCTTGAATAACACCTTCAAAGTAATATTTGGAAACTAGTTATACACACTGTGTTTGAATGGTTTGCAGAAAACCTCACCTGAACTCACTGTAAGAGTCATGGAAAGCAAGGTGAGAAGCAGGAAAAACATCCTGTTCTTCTCCATGGACTTTGCATACAGCTGACCAAGGAAAAACTGATTAATGGCACTTGGTCACAGCAAGAGAATTATTTGTCAACATGCAAGCAATCAATACTTTTTCACTGGCGCCAAGCAGGGAATATTGCCTTTGGAGTCCTGGAACTGTGTAAATATAAATAGGATCAAAGAAAGCCTTTGATTACTAACATAAAATTGATCACCACTCCTTCAAACTTCTTGGAAGATATTTATTGAAATGGATAACTTTTCAAGGTTCTTTGGGGATCAATTTTCTCAAAGAAAACGGAGTTCATTGTATTCATTGTTGGGAATGAGCAAGTATTCTTGCACCCTTTTCTTCTTTTTCTTCTTCTGATTCTCCTTGATGTTTCTCCTTTTATTTCTGAATCCTGATGCTTCAGTTTTGTTGAAATTTTGCTCCAGTGTGTCTGCACTCTAAAATGAGATTTTTTTTCTCACTTAGTAGTCAGATTACGGAATATAACCAATCGTAACTAACTTGAGTGTTTTGATCTGTACTAACGTCTCCATCAGTGACGACAACCGAGAAGTGACGACACAGGTATTGTGGTAGTAGTTGTTGCTGTTGATGGAGTTGTGGTTGTGGTGGTAGTAGTGGGAGTTGTTGTCATGGTTGTAGAAGAGCTTGTGGTGGTTATTGGTATGGTCCTGAGTTGTGATGTTGTTGTGACCGTTTTTGTGGTCTCACTTCTGTTCAAAGCCCACCAAGGAGGAAAGTATGGGATGGATGGATAGAAAGGGAAAACTGGATAGGGGTAATAGTATGGTTTCCTGGCTGTGGTGAAAGGGTGAGACCATGTGTGTGATGGTGGACTGTGGGAATGGATGATGGGTATTATGGTTTGGGCTGGCCATTCAATTGGATGCCTCATCAAGATGGAGGCTGAAGTGGTATGAGGGACCATCTGTTCTTCAAATACATTATCTAGATGTGTTACCTTATTGTTTCTACACATTTTTCTTTTTCTATTTTTTCCACAATTGCAATAAGCTTCAGCACTTATTTGTGGGTATTCATAGTTGAGAAATTCCTCTTCAGAAGACTCTGTGCATTTCAATTTATTTTTTTGGGACTTTTTATGCTTCAAGACTTCTTTGACCTTGGTTGTAGTTGGTTTTGAACTTGAACTGGTTGAACTGGTGGGTTGGGTTTTTGTTGAGGATGAAATGGGTGCAGTAGTGGGTGTTTTAAACTTTTTCAAGACCTTCCTATAGGAAGCAAACTCTTCCTCAGGTTTCTTATTTGAAAAGTGGTTGCCATTTGATTCAAGTATGTTTTTCTGAGACTTCTTTTCTCTTTTGGTGTTTCCTTCATGCAGCAACTTGAATTTTTGTGCCTCTTGTGGGACTCTTTTGGACTCTAAGAGTATATGAAAAAATTGGCATTTAAAAAAGAGAGAGAGGGAGTTATACTTTACTTGTCTGGAGTTCCAGGTTGTCATCTTCTTTTGAGGTGTCATAAAATTCTGAATCCTCATGAATATGAGCAGAAGCAGCAGGATGAAATATTATGGAAATGAAACACTGGATTGCCAGAAGTTGAATCATCAAGATTTTTTTGCACAAGCACTTTTCCATCTCTGGACATAGCAAGCTGGCCACTTCCAGCTCTTGTTAGAGCAGGGAGTGGAAAAAACTATATGGACCCTGTTGATTATTGCCAGAAGTTGAATCATCAAGATTTTTTTGCACAAGCACTTTTCCATCTCTGGACATAGCAAGCTGGCCACTTCCAGCTCTTGTTAGAGCAGGGAGTGGAAAAAACTATATGGACCCTGTTGATGAGTGATTTTTGGACAGAGAGTAAAAATAATTTATCCCCACCCTTTCTCTGAGTATGTTAGCATTTAGCAAACACTCATTTAGTTTTATTCTGGCTGACCCTTTTTGGAACTTGGAGCTTTTGTTTGAACATTGGCATCTGTCTGTCAAAGTCTTGGTACCAAGGAGGCACTTGGTAGATTACTTGGTTGCTGTTGGGTTAAGACCCCATGAGTAGTTTAGGACAACTGTCAGAAAACATGGAGTGGTAAAAGAGTCCCTGGTCTACCGCGAAGTTACTTCCGGACCGTAAGGTCCATAAGTTGTAAAAACGGGTCCTTGGTGATGCTGAGCCCCAAGGATTGTAGCTTATGATCTGTTGCTGCTGTGGCTCTGGGTTAACAGGGTAATTGTATTGTGGATACACATAATTTGCTGGCTCTGGGAATTTTTTCCTGCTCTTCACAAAGTAACTTGAAGTGGTGTAGGAGTGCTCTCTCTGGGACAGCAACTTGACCAATATCCTCTTCAACTTGGCTTCATCCTTTCATATACAGACAAAAAAACACTATGGCAGCAAAGTACACATGTGGTACCTCACAATTTGATCTCCCACAAATTGACAGGTAAGTTGAGTGGCAATTCAACCTCTGCCCCACAATTCAACGACGAAGTCGGTGAAAAGATCGTAAAATACGACGAGAATGAATTAAAATGTGTCACTGAACGTTAAACTGGTAAAACACAAAGTTGCGATATCAGGTCGTTAACTAATCCCAACTTAACACCCCATGGAGCACATGTACCCAACATTTATGAAAGAGGTTAAAAGAGGCTCACCTCCAGATTATCTGTAGTTGCAACAGTGGAAGTTTCATCAGAACTGGCAGAGAATAAAGGGTATATAGTGGTAGCAGTCCTCATGGTAGTGCTGGTGGTGGATGGTGTGTCCTTGCTGGTGCTGCTTGTGGATGGGGAAGAGGTGGCAGTGGTCACTGGTACTGCTGTAGAAGTGTCAGTGGTGTCTGCATGATGCACTGGTTCAGTAGTTGGCTGCACCAAAACAGTCACTATGACAGTCCTCAACCATGGCTGTGTGATCAGAGACTCAGTCACAGGTGGTACCATGGGACCAAATGACATTTGATCATGCGTCATCATTGGATACATAGGACTCATTTGAGTCTCAGGTTGCATCACAGCTGTGGTGGTAGTGGTGGTGCCACCACACTTGGGACACACTTGCTGAATGCATTTGACACAACATGGTGCCTTAGTGCACAATGGTAGCATCTGGTAGCTGTTTTCATTTTGTTTCAAAAACGTCTTAGACGTCGTCGTCAAAACATACAACAATCGTAACAACAACAACAACCACAGAGGTCTCCAAAGGACCGAGTATCTACACAGAAGAAACGTTCTCGTTTCACCTGTGTTAAACGTTTAATTTCCAGCTGCTTCTTCTGAGGATTGGTCTGAGTCATTTGGAGGTTCTGTTCTGGAAAAAGTTCTGCAGTCAGCCAGGTCTGCATCACACAGCTGCATCTCATCAGACCCAACCATACCTTCAAACACATAAAAACTTGTGTTCTTTGACCTTTCCTACAAAAATGCAAAGTCTATTTATGCAAAAATTCCAATAGAATTGATTGCAGATGCCTACTTTTCAACAACTGTATTAGCAAAACAAAACTTGTTGAGAAAATGTTTTCAGTTCTTGATTGCAATATATAGGAGTTACCCTTATGAAACAGCTATGTGATTATCCAGATTATTTCTTTAACTGATAAGTGTCTCACATGGTCTACCCATGCACAACATACTTGATTTGTGCAACAGACTAGCTTGTTGTGTGAAAAGTCTGTTATGCAAATTCAATTATTGAAAATCAAAAATTTTTACTTCTTACCATCAATTTTGAACCAGCAGAAGTTTGTTATGCAGATACTGCCTTCAGGGGTGGTCTGTTGTGCAAAAATAAATTGCACAGGATGTCTGTTGTGTAGGGGTTGACTATTCTAGAGTATTAACCCACTATTCCTCTGGAATACAGTCAACCCCCATCTAACGGACTTGATTTGTGCAAGGGACGAGTCTGTTAGACAACAAGTCCTTTACACAAATTCAATTACATAAAAAATTATTTTTGCAGAATCTGCAGCAGCAGTTTTGTATGTTGTTAGCATTGTTGTTGTTGTTGGTGTCTCCAGAGGTTTCCTGGCTCATAGATGTGTCTTCTTTGCAAGAGCAAAGTGGACACAATTTGCAAATGTTTCCAGCTGCTTCTTCTGAGGATTGGTCTGAGTCATTTGGAGGTTCTGTTCTGGAAAAAGTTCTGCAGTCAGCCAGGTCTGCATCACATAGCTGCATCTCATCAGACCCAACCATACCTTCAAACACATAAAAACTTGTGTTCTTTGACCTTTCCTACAAAAATGCAAGGTTTATTTATGCAAAATTAAAATAGAATTGATTGCAGATGCCTACTTTTTAACAACTGTATTAGCAACACAAAACTTGTTGAGAAAATGTTTTCAGTTCTTGATTGCAATATATAGGAGTTACTCTTATGAAACAGCTATGTGATTATCCAGATTATTTCTTTAACTGAGAAGTGTCTCACATGGTCTACCCATGCACAACATACTTGATTTGTGCAATAGACTAGCTTGTTGTGTGATAAGTCTGTTATGCAAATTCAATTATTGAAAATCAAGCATTTTTACTTCTTACCATCAATTTTAAACCAGCAGAAGTTTGTTATGCAGATACTGCCTTCAGGGGTGGTCTGTTGTGCAAAAATAAATTGCACAGGATGTCTGTTGTGTAGGGGTTGACTATACTAGAGTATTAACCCACTATTCCTCTGGAATACAGTCAACCCCTGTCTAACGGACTTGATTTGTGCAAGGGACGAGTCTGTTAGACAAAAAGTCCTTTACACAAATACAATTACATAACAAATTAAAAATTTCAATTTTCAACACTAATTTTAAACCAAAAGAAGTCTGTTTGGTGGATTTTGTCTGTTGGGCGTGAGGAAAAACTGCTTGCAGAGCTTTTTCAACACTAATTTTGAACCAAAAGAAGTCTGTTTGGTGGATTTTGTCTGTTGGGCATGAGGAAAAACTGCTTGCAGAGCTGGTCTGTATGGCGAAAATCCCTTACATGGGAGGTCTGTTAGGCAGGGGGCCACTGTATGTCTCTTTGCACCTCAATCTTGAACAATATTTACTGTACAGTTTTGCTCATCATCAAATAAAACCATGGTCAAATCTGTAGGATGGATTGCATGTATCCCAAAAATAATTAGGGCATTTATTCACTAATTATCTTCTTCCTGTCTCATCATTACTGAAGAAAATTAGAAAATGTCATTCACCTGAATGAGGGCATCCCCTGTCAATAACTGGTCTCAACAGAACACTTTCCACAAGACCACTAGATGTCACTGAGGTAAATTTGTAGCAGGAGTTGATCACCAAACATAAAAATAAAAGCGTGAGCATTGCTCCCCCACCACCTATAAAAAATTGAAGTTCTGAATTAAAATATTGAAAGAAAAATACATGACTTCCAAGATATATCTCACCCTGGAAGGTAAAACTGAACAGATTATATCATTTGTTTCAATAATCTGAATCAATTATGAATTTTCAAATTATATATCTCAAACATAAACATATAAACAATCTGAACAGCACAAATATTTAAAAATTTAATGACGCGTTTGAGAATAAAATTAATGCCAACTAGTTCAGGTAATCCACACCATTGGGAGACGCCCAATTTCGATAGTTCATAGATGTCACTCGCTTGCAAATACTTGAAAAATATAACAGCATCAGAGTCATTTCCACACACACAAAAAAAAAATTGCCACTCCTGAGCACTAAAGGTATAAAAGCGGCACTGGCTTGCAATTTTCTCTCTCCTTAAAAAAAATTGGAAGAACCAGATTTCCGGCTGAGACTGGGACAGGAAGTGGCCAGTCAGTATAATACTGCACAGGTGGCCGGAAACGTGTACATACAGCAGCACCAGAACCAGTTGTGTATGAATGTATGGGTTTGTAAACAAGGCATGGCGCCGCTTTGCTGGTGGGCGCCAAATATTGTCAGTGCAAATAACCAGTGCTTACATCAGCCAATTTTACTCCACATTTTGCACAAAAACTCTGCCCCTTATGCGCTCTCATTTTTATTTATTCATTTTTTCAGACGGGTTTCTTAGACCCAATTTTCCTGGGCGTGATTTTATATAATTATTTGAAGAATAAAAAAAAAAAACAGAGCACGAATTTTTGCACATATTTGAAAAGGTTTGCGCTTTCATATTGGGGACTGATGTTCATCATTGTTTCGGAGCTTTATTAGAGTGACATCTATTTCAGAGGACTAGAAAATATTTGAAACCCCAGTCTTTCATCTTGATGATGATGCTTTTCAATGTACTTTATCTTTTAAATATCAAAGATACAGATTTCAGTTGAAAAGTGACTCATTTTTTTTCATGGAGAGCTACAAAAGTTCGTTCAATTGAAATAAAATACTGTATATACATGTGAAAAAAAATTAGAAAATTTTCGATGCTTGGGAAATATTAATCATGAAACATATGAATTACAGTATATTTTTGCACTTGAAGAATCAAATGCATCAAAAATGTCACAAAATTAATTTCTACATTTTTCGCGCTGCTCATTTATAGTTTTTATACGACCAAAATTGGCACTTTTAATCGATAAATAACCATCTCCTACACTTTTCAAACGAAAACATACCAAATATCGTCGTAAACTCGTCAAAGATTAATCTACCTTGAATTAATTTGTCACCTTGACGCATAAACTTCTATTTACTGAAGCTTATTTTCAATAGTTGTCGTATATGAGGGATGAGATAAAGAATGAAGTCCCTCATTAGAAAAAAACAGGATCACAGTATTTAAATCTTCGTCAAGTAAATAAGCAAATTTAAAATCAAGAATCACGTAGGAAAGGCTAGTAAAAAATAAAAAATAAAATTAAAATGATAGAATTGCGAACAAATAATGCAGCTGAGAAGGATGCCAGAACCGGACGCGGAATAACCCGATTTTCTGTCAGGCTTTTATCGTGAGCCTCGCCAAAATCCTGTTTGTCGGAACTAACTGAGCCTTATATTCTTCAAGGCCAAAGAAGTCGTCGTGACTTCTTCGATTTTGCAGCAATTGGCCAATGGTGAGCAAGGGAGAAATCATATGATTTTATCTCTGACCCCATAGGGAATCATTCATATAGTTTAAAGCCTTCGGTTTTCTCCTCGCGGGAGGAAAAGCAGTAGTGAAATAATTTGACCAAGTGCGAATTTGAGTCTAAATAATTTACGGGTGGATAATTCTGGACTAATGAATTAATTAAAATTACGTCTTGCTTTAATTGGTGTCCAGTGAAATTACCGAAAGAGCCAAACGGTTTTGTCAAGAGTTAATTGAGACCTTACAGTTCTGGAGTTTGTCCAATTATTCATCACTTGATGACAGCAATGTATGGTTTTAGTAAAAAAAAAAAAACATTTCCCTAAGAACTAGGAAATAATTTTTTTTCATCAACTAATAATGTTCAATCAAGATTCCCACAACCAAACCCCCTTCCCATCCAACCCAAATCCACCCAATGACATTTTAATCACTTCAGAGCAGGAAAGCACAAATTGATAACAAAAATAAAAGAAAATGCAATGCCACATGAAATACAACTGGACATCTGACATGTATGCATACACCCATTCATTCCCTGACATTGGTAACAAATGGGTTTGGTTGTGGGAATCTTGATTGAACCTTGTGAACGCTGAAAAGTGGCAAATAAAGTGTTCTGTTCATTCATTTATTCAACTAATAAATATTTGGACACACTCCCACATACAATACTGTGTTGAAAACTCACTTGATTGACATCATGGTTTAGTTTCCAACTCACCAGAAATTGAGCAAAATAAAAACTTTCATGCAATATTAAGCACGGTTTCATCAACTTTTTCATATACTTTATTGATACCAAAATTCTATGAAATATCAAAATGGCCTACATTTAAATGAGATTATCATGAAATCTCTGAAATACACCTGTCTTCAATAATGCAGGTAATACCTGTTGCCAAACTTGGGTCACATTGCAAATTAGTCACATTCTGAGACAATCAGTCAAATTTTAAAAATAAGTACAGTACAAAAAATGCAAATAAATTGATAATGCAGGTTAAATTGTGGGGCAAGGGTCAAATTGAGAGTCAACCTCTCTGTAAATTTGA